TTTTAGTGGCTTATGGTGTGGAACAATCATTTATCTTTTTAACAATGTGCTTTTTATATAATTTATATGTATAATATGATTGCTGGATACGATTTCATGCGACAAAACGTTGGAACCTTGATTTTTAGGCGCTAGTAGAACATACCCACGTGTTTTGCGCTCGGCATGCAATATACTGTTTTATTTCTGAATTATTTAAAACCGCCGAGAAATACTTGAAAACCAGAAATAATTTCAGTTGTAATAGGTTAGAAGGTAGGGAAGGAAGGGAGCGAAGGCAACCTGACTTTATAGATAAGATATCTGATCTGATCGAATCTGTACTAAAATTAAACCAGCACGCCCCGACTCCACGTAGTCTTGTCTGTCCTACTCCTAGAGTGTTTTTGTAAAGCCGTAGGCGCGGAAGGTGAGCAGCCCCCGCCCGCTGTAGCAAATCAGAGGCACCTGTGCGAGCCGTAGTGGCTGAGGCTGGTCGCTGAAGGCGACCAATAAGCCTCCGCAAATTGGAGGCACCTGTGCGAGCCGTAGCGGCTGAGGCTGGTCGCCGAAGACGACCAATAAGCCGAAGCTGCGGAGTCTTATTGGTCGCCTTCAGCGACCAGCCTCAGCCGCTACAGCTCGCACAGGTGCCTCCGATTTGCTACAGCGGGCGGGGGCTGCACTTCCCGCAGCGCCAAAGCCGTTGTAGATGTAACTTTAGGTTAATATTCCTGTGTAAAAAGGTAAGGTTATGATTATACAAAAAAAAAACATTATTCATAAACTATACTTTTCCGCAACGAGGGAAAAGTATAGGGGCTTTCCTTGATAAGGCACACTTCTGATACCCTCTTCCGCCTTCCTGACGGGGACAATAAATGTTACTATCAAGTTAGGTCTATGGGATTTTCTTTTTGATTTTTCTCAAGAACGGTGTATTACCTTTTAATAGGAGTAGTGTCGGGAGTAAGGGGAGGCTTCCCCCTTTCCATCCCCTAAACCCCTGCCCCCTCCTCCTGCCAAACGATTCTAAATTTCAACCATTCTTTCTACATGACAGTCCGAGTAGACCCCGTCGATAATGACACAAGCACTAATGTCCCTATAAAGAGAACTTAATGCTCGTGTCAAACCAGCGTTTAACCCAAATGAGTTCAGTGTTTGCCATAACATATTCCAGTCCACTCTATCATAAACCTTTTCCAAGTCCATGAACGCACTAAAAGCTTTCTGGTTTTTGGCCAAACATTTCTCCACAATCATGCGCATGAAAAATACTGGGACCGTACACCCCATTTCCTTTTTTAATTCAGCTTGCACATCTGAAATTTTCCCATGAGTATCTCCCATAGTTTTTTCAATTAACACCTTACATACAGCTGATACCATGGTAGTTTTTACAGTCTCGCTGTGACCCTTTTTCTGTGTTGTGATATATGTGCACTACAATGGCTTTGCATCAGTCTTCCGGTACCCATTTTAGTTCCCAACATAAATTGAACAAGGTGTACAGCAGGCCTGCCACCACTTCCTCCCCAGTTCTTGGCATTTCGAGTGATACTCTATCATATCCGGCTGCCTTACCTGCTTTCATGCTTTTTATTGCTTTCATTATTTAATCTACACTTATCTCCCTACCTCTCTCCACTTCGTTCGGAATTTCTGTTTCTCTTAATTTAGACGACTCTTTACTCATGTGCGCTTTCAAATTATTCCTTCCAACTCTTTAAACTCGAAACCTCGTCATTCAGTATACAGACATTCTCGTCTCATATAGCATTCGTTCTAGGCTGTTTTTAATTTCCCCTGATAGTTCTGACGAGTTTCCAGAACATTTTTATATTTGCCTGGAAGTTATCAGATATCCTTCTATCATTCTTATCCGTTCTTTTTTGCTTTTTCGTTTTAACAACTTCTTTTACTCTCTTATTTAGACGTCTAAAGTCTGCCTCTTTTCTTTCAATCTCATCACTCATACCGCCAGAATTACCAGCTTTGGTTGCTAGTAAATCTAGCCATGTTCCTTTTTTTGCTTCAACTTCCATCCGTACCTCATCATTTCACCACAACGGATTACTTTTGCTTTCATTCGTTCTCTTACTTACACCACATATTTCGGTGGCTGCATCTACCAAAACTTTCTTAACATTATTCTATACATTGAATAAAACTATTTTTTACGTATTTTATCGCGTTTAATTGACTTTTTTAATTAATTAAGAGCAACCCATGGTCACGGGGGGTACTGAGATGTTTGACGTCCCGACGTCTACAGTTAGCCCGGCTTCAAACCTTCAGTTTTTTAATATTAATTTTTGGTTCGATTTACGCAGAATAAACTTACAGTATCTTGAAGTCTTGCAGTGATATGCTTGGGTTTGGATTTAATTTAGTTAATTAAAGGATCCCAAGCAGATGGCAGCACCCATCCATCTTCTCTATTGAAATAGGGATGTTTTTTTTTTATTTCAATAGCCTCGCGTATCATCCTTGGTAGGAATCGGTGTTCTTTTGCGAGGATTTGTGGTCTATCAAATCTAATGTAATGGCGGGGACGATCTTGAACACGTTCACAGACTGCAGACTTTCCAGAGCGTCAGTGCTTCACGTGAGCTATATGTTCTTTCATGCGGATTTAAATGGATCTTATTGTTTGTCCTCTGTAAGAGAGATTGTAGAGGGATATTACACTTGACGGATGGTAAAAATTGATTAATCTTCTTCGGCGGGTTAGTTATGTTTTAATAGAAGAGAAACTCTGAAACAAAGAGCACGAGAAATCTGTGACAGAAAACATCTGGCCGCCGAGCTTCAGCACGCTATTGAAATTAAAAAACATCCTAATTTCAATAGAGAAGATGGATGGGTGCTGCCATCTGCTTGGGATCCCATAATCAAGAAAATTAAATCCAAACCTAAATATACTACTGCAAGACTTCACGATGCGTAAATCGAACCAAAAAATAATATTAAAAAACTGAAGATAGCCGGGCTAATTGTGACATCGGGACATCAAACATCTCAGTCCCCCCCGTAACAATGGGTTGCTGTAAATTACCCGAAAAGTCGGGGATTAAAATAGTAAATTAAACGCGATAAAATTCGTAAAAAATAGTTTTATTCAATGTATAATGTTCGCGTAAATATAAGAAATCATTATTATTCCATACAGTTTTCAAATCTAAATCATTCATACATAATTCTTTCAAACCACTTATATTATCCACCAGTCTAGTTTTATACTTCTCTTTCACACCTTCAGATGTCCGATGCTGCCAATGCCTGAGTAGACCATTAAATCAGCATAAGACCAAGTAATTATCCGTCCCTACGTTGGACTTCCGGTAAACACTTGTATCTACCACTGCGCTCCTCATTCTTTCATCCACAATTATGAAGTCTATCATGCTTCTATCATTACCTCTCTCCTATGTATACATGTAAATCCTCTTATGACGAAAGAAAGTGTTCGTCACAAAAATATTCTGTTCCACACATACGGCGAGGAGAACTTCACCATTCTCATTTATGCTTTAATCGCCAAACGTTCCCAATATCCTTTCATAACCAGACTGCTTCACCCCAACCCTTATATTAAAGTCTTTCAACATAATAATATTTTCATTTCCCCCACATTTCATTAACACCATCCTTACCATGGACTGCTCTCGAATATAAGTGGGCTTAGACATGCCCGGATATAATGGGCTCTTTATAATATTAAGTATATATTGTGCATGGTAGAGTCATGCTACTGCTGCCATATTACAGTTGTAGCACGAATGGCTTGGCTCGACCACGCTCTCACAGAATACCAGCGTAAAATAACAGTTTAATGCTGCTGTGTTTCACTATAACTTTTCATTAAAACGAGGCATTTTAATCCTTAATTGACGATAGATGTAGATGTCTATGGGCCATAGCAACCACTTACCATCAGGTGGACTGTGTGCTCGTTTGTTACCCTTATCTTTTAAAAATATTACTGAAGTTAGGGATAGTATAGTGTATGGTAAAATTGAAAATCGATATTTATATTTCTTATTATTTATATCGAATAAAACTACTTTTATGGATTCTATCGTGTTTAATTGACTTATTTTTATTGATTCCCGACGTTTCGGGTGCTTTACAGCACCCATGATCACGGGGGACTAAGGGTGGGAAAATAAGTTAATTAAACGCGATAGAATCTGTAAAAGTAGTTTTATTCAATGTAGTGTTCGCGTAAATATAAGAAATCATAATTAGTTTATATATTGTAATTAGAAAATGAAATCAGAATGTCGGATTACTCACTTAAACCTCAATTTTAAATTACAATATTTTCGTACAGATTTTCTTACGCTACAATTTATAACTTTAAACTCAAGATCTAAAAGTAGTCTGCTAGACATGAATCCCTTCCGTAAATTGATGATCGCATTATCTGTCACTGGTCTGGATAATTTATACCTGACGTTAACGAAATAGTTACACCACCATCTATCGGAAAGCATGAGAACTTTTTGGTATGTATCCCAAAGTTGCCACTTATGCGGACGTCATGAAGAGATTGATCTCTTTTGCCACTGCCACACGGTACTTTTTTGATAGCATAACGGTCAGAAACGAGCGTTTTCAATCCTGACGACTGAAACGAAATGCTTCGTTTTCAGTAAAAAGGAATTTCTGTTCTCTACACTCACCGTTCAAAAAACGAGCCGACTCATTCATGTTACAAACATAATATACCTATGAAAGTTGGCAAAAATTATTACTTAGCGTACATCCGCCCGATAAAATAAAATTTATTTTATTGAGCGGATGTACGCGAAGTAATAATTCATCATTTTATTTTATTGAGCGGATGTACGCGAAGTAATAATTCATCATTTTATTTTATTGAGCGAATGTACGCGAAGTAATAATTTTTTGCCAACTTTAATATAATGGACTTCCGCAAAGTAACTCCTGATTCTATTAATTATCATAATATAGCTAGTGAAAACTGTTCAAATAATCCATGTTATACTTACCTAGGATGTAAGCAGCTGGAACGAGACTGGCGCTAGCTACGGTCTCCAGAAACTCCACAATGATGTACATTTCGTATGAAACAGAGAATGCTTTCAGGGTACCGATGGCGCCAACCAGAGTGCAGCTCAGCACCAGCGCCCACTTGCGACCCCAACTTTAAAATATTATAACCAACATCAGCATCAAAATCATCACCAAACCACACTACTGAGAGACAGTTTGAACGTAGACCAAGTAACAGATAAGATGAGAATTGGTAGGGTATGGGCGTATTATGCAAAGGGATTAAAATGCCCTCCAGACCAAGTTTTGGACACGGCGGCCAATCTCAACAGAGAAAAGCCATCTGTACAGGACAGGATTATAGTGTCTGAGTGTATGCGCAAGAACAGGTGCACTCTCAATTTCCTCACTCATAATCTGATGGAACGGCAAACCAGCAGAATTGAAGAGAGATCAAGCACAGCATTTACGACCACTAGACCAACGAGGTAGTCAAGGGAAGGAAAGTAAATTATGTAACAAGAAGAATATTGGCTTTGAAAGTGTGTGGATATAAGAGTAGAGGGAGGCCTAAAAAAAGATGGATGGTCTGTTTTAGGAACGATATGCGTAAGAAACGAATGAGTGAATAGCAGATGGTCAATAGAGAAGAATGGAAGAGCAAGACTTGATATGCCGACCAAAAATAACTTGAGATAAGTGTATGTAAAATAAGAAGAAGACTCCACTGCTGTTACCATCTCTGCCTCTAAGCAACAGTGCGTGCATAGTTGTGTTCCAATCTGAAGGGTATAGAGATCCAGTATAATCATACGCTGTGAGGTGTTACGCCTTGGTCCTTAAAATTAATAACGCATCTGTAGATTTCTCTGCTTAAAGTTTATTTCAGGGGTCCATGAACTTCATTAATAACTTATCATCAGGAGGACTTTGAGTTCGTTTGTGATTACAATTTTATGAAATAGTCTTTATGACATTAATGTACCGTGTCCTGGCGGTGTATCGTCCACTACCCCATATTATCCAGTAGGTGTCCTAAGAGGCGACAGAGGGAAATAAACCAGTAGATGATCAGCAACATCTTACTAATATAACAAATAAAAAAATGCTATTACCAACGCACATGCCAAGCGTAGTAAATATCCCTCCTATGAGGCAATTTATGGGAAAGTCCATAAATGTGATAGTAATAGATGGCCATAGTGTGCAAGGGAGAAGAAAATTCCTTATTGCAATATAGCAAGATAGAAATGGGTGGCAAATGTCATGACTCTATGACTGATTTGTCATTCAAAATCGGCCGTCACAAATTCGCATGCAAGAATTGAGCTCATCAGTGTTTTTTTTTTTAGTTTAATCGTGGTTATTTTTAGTAAATATATTGTCTATCCATCTGAACCCATTTGCGTTTTGATTTTTTATAGAATATAAATTTATATGTCTATGGATCATAGTATTAATGCGTGAACTGTATGTTCGTTTGTCATCCCTAACTTCTTTTTGAAATCCTCTTTACTATATTTGACAGTTTAAAATTTAAAAGGTTTTGTTTGCGGACCATTTAAAAATGAGATAAAATATTTGACAGACTTCATAGCGGTGGAAGTTAAGTAGATAGAAAAATGTTTCTTTTTGAAAAATTTGTCATATTTATTATTAATCAGATTAGAAATTAATAAACCAGGCTATGGATATTCCTAATAGTAGAACAGTGAAGAAGACGCAACGAAACAACGAAGCAAAAAGTTGTATTTAATAGCATGCCTAAGAACTCAATTCTCGGCCCTTTTCTGTTTCTTGTATATATTAAAGACTTACCTTACGTAATAGGGGATAACTATAATAAAGTATTATTTGCTGATGACACTTCATTAATTTTCAAATTAAAACGACAATTACCAATATATGACGAAGTAAATAATGATGTATCTAAATTAGTGAATTGGTTTAATGTTAATAATTTACATTTAAATGGCACTAAAACGAAATGTATGAAATTCATGACTCCATATGTCAAATATTTAAATACTAATGTAATTTTAAATGGGCAACCGCCGCAGAAGAACACAAAAACTCTCCAATCATACTCTCAATCTCATGGCTGTCAGGTGGGCGATTCAACAGATTTGACAGCATACAGGCAACTGAACAGACAGATCTCCAAATGCATGCGGCGGAACTTACGAAATTTCAATACAGCTTGTATTGAAGAAGCAATCGAGCGGAACCAAGGCTCCAAAGTCTTTGCCAGAGATCTGTCTGCCAGAAAGAGCCAACTGTCAAAGCTGAAGACTGAGTGTGGCAGTATTGTTTCCGGGGCACCTGAGATTTTGAGTGAGATTGAGAGGTTCTATGGGCAGCTGTACACGTCATCGTTGGAGCCACACGCAAGTGTGAGTAACGATCCAAGAGCGAGTATTATCCGACACTATTTTGAAGATATCCCGGACATCAGTCTGAGCGAGATTAGAATGGCTCTCCAGCAACTTAAAAACGGCAAGGCCCAAGGCGAGGGTGGAATTACAGCGGAGCTTCTGAAAGTGGGTGGAAGATCGGTACTTGAAGTCCTTCGGAAACTCTTTAATTCCGTCCTCCATGGTGGCATTACACCATAGGCGTGGAGCAGAGGTGCGGTGGTCTTGCTCTTCAAGAAAGGTGACAACGCTCTCTTGAAGAACTGCAGACCGATTACCCTTCTGAGCCGCGTCTACGTGCTGTTTTCGAGAGTCATTACGAATCGCCTCGCGCGCAGACTTGATGACTTTCAGTCTCCCGAAAAAGTCGATTTCCGAAAGGGATTTAGCACCATAGACCACATACATACCCTTCGGCAAATTGTACAAAAGTCCGAAGAGTACAATTTGCCACTATGTCTGGCGTATGTGGACTATGAGAAAGCCTTTGATTCCGTCGAAATTTGGGCGGTGCTGCAGTCCCTTCAGCGGTGCCAAGTTGACTGTCGGTTTATCGAAGTGCTGAAGTGTTTGTACAGTAGAGCTACGATGGCTATCCGAGTACAGAACCAGAGTACGGTAACCTATCCAATTGCAGAGAGGTGTAAGACAGGGTGATGTTATATCCCCGAAACTCTTCACCGCTGCATTGGAAGACGTTTTCAAGCTTCTGGACTGGAAAGGATACGGTATTAACATCAATGGCGAGTACATCGCTCACTTTCGATTTGCCGACGATATAGTCCTTATGGCAGTATCGCTGGAGGACCTTAGCACCATGCTCAATGACCTCAATAGTGTCTCCCAACGAATAGGTCTTAGGATGAACATGGACAAAACAAAAATCATGTTTAATGTCCATGTCACACCTATGCCGGTAGTTGTTGGGAGCACTAAGCTCGAAGTTGTTATAATTAATAGAATCAAGCGTTAGTTTGCGGAAATCCATGATATAAAAGCTTTAAAAAAAATTTACTTCGCAAACATCCGCTAACTTCTTAGCGGTTAGCACACGTAGAGTCTATATCACCTGAGGATGCTTCGTGTAGAGGCGAAACACGTGTCGTATTGTCGTCTTTCCTAGTGTAGTGGTGTTAGGAGTAGCGGTGCTGGGATTAGTGATGACGGGGATAGTGCACGCAATTGAGGGAGGGCGGGAGGTGCTCTTCATGCTAGGTAAGACACATCGTTTTATTTTAAACAGACTATAGCAAGTTTTACTGGGGATGAAAATATCAGCTCTGAACGTCCAACGAAAATGTCCGGAGTTGACAATTACACATTTTTGTGTCCACAATGACTACAGTGACCACCGTCGCTCATGAACATCCAAAATCACCAGGTAGAAATTTGTCAAGCAATGGCTTTAATAAGAAAGAAAGTTAACCATGCAGCGGATTCACTAAAAGAAATCCAACAGTGAATTAAACTAACTTGGACTGAAAAAAATCTGATTAATATACTAAAATTCTATGTAAAGGTTTAGTATATGAAACTCTTTGTACACACCGGTCGGATATATATCCGAAGATTGGCAATGAGACCAGCTTCCCAATGTTATGGATCGTCCCCACCAGAGTTCGCTTCCACTCCTGGCACGCCAAATTGAACTGAAAATAGATAACAACCGATATAATAAAGTAACATTACATCAACTCCTACGCTTGTCCCCAATGGGGTAGGCATAGTCTACGAACTTACATTTGCAATAATCATGACACATCTCTCTCGTTTCTTTCTCATCTATATACTCGTAGCTACATATGCGCGTTTATTAAATGTGCTCCTTAATTGCGCTTTTTTTATATAAACCGATCTGTTGAATTTTGAACGTGGAAGAAGAAGGACCACATTCTCACGGAATACCAGCGTAAAATACCAGCTTAATGCTGCTGAGTTTCGAATGGTGAGTGTAAGATCCGGATTATCTTTTTACTGGAAACGAGGCGTTCTTAGTCTTTAGGGGTGACAACGCATATGCATTTGGACTCTAATTTGAGCATAGATGTAGATATCTATTGACCAAAGCATCCACTTAACATAATGTGGACTGTTTGTTCGTTTGTTACCCTTATTACATAAAAAAGTGGGTCCTGCAACCATCTGATCATGCAGGTATCTTTAATACATCGGCAATTTAGTCGATGAACCTCCGAGTCTAGGGCAGTAATAGCGAGCCTATAAACCGTGGGTACGACATTGACCCACGCAGGCTTTTTTTATGTGACGTAGATTTTTTAAACTTATTAAAAGTAAATGAGATTTTTCATTGAGGTGAATGAGTTGTATAAATGAAGTTGAAATGTATTGTATAAATGTATTGTGAATCCAACACTGGACTGTCAAAGTTGAAATTCGGACTGATACAGAAGACAGGAGAAGATTTATTTCTTATTTGGTTATTTAGCTTTTATCTTGTGCAATAATTCCCAAAATTTTAAAATATTCGCATGTAAGTGAATGAATGTAGGAATAAATATAACTCAGGCTAAAATGGCCGTATTTTATTTTTTATTTTTATTTTATAGGATCGAGTGTCAAACGAGCACACAGTCCACCTGATGGTAAATGGTTGCTGTGGCCCATAGATATCTAAATATATTCTCTATTACGAATCAAGATGCAGATGCGTTGTCACCCGTGAGGACTAAGATAGAATGCCTAATTTCCAGTAAAAAGGATCTCCGGTTCTCTACACTCACCATACGAAACACAGAAGTATTAAGCAGCTATTTTACGCTGGTATTCTGTGAGAGTGTGGTCCTTCCCCGGTCGATCCGACCCATTCGTGCTACAACTATACTACTAATATAGCTGCAGCATAGCTCTACCACGTATAAAAAGGCCGTTGGTGAATTTCCTGGATATCATTCAATTCGACCGGAAGGACTTACGTTTTGTTGGGAATATAGAAAACCCAAAAAGTCTATGGTATACATAAATAATATATACATATACGTTTTGTGTAAAAAATATATCTATTATACATTGAGATATAATGTACTACGTACTAGAGAAGCTATTCCGAACAAAAACTGTGCACTACTCTATGTCTTCGCGCATGCGCGGTTTTTGTCATCATAGATTATATACGTAGGTAGAATGATCAGTATGTAATAAGTAAATGTTTATTTAGATTGTATTGTAAATTGTATCGAGTACAGTTTTTTAAATTGTTATTTATATTGCATAATGTGTTAATATAATGCAACATAATATTATGTCAGAATTACATTTTAAATATATTTTATTTAATACTTTAAAAGGTAAATATGTACAATATAAAAATATGCATTTATTTTCAAAGATCATTATTATTACTTTTCTAGCATTCTCTAACGTATTTATACGCAGTAGGTGAATAATAGTGTAAAATCAATGCGAATTTACGTAAAGGTGCATGCAGTGTATAATTAATAATGCGTGCTCTGTTTATTCTTTTTCGTTAAAGATTTATGTTACTCCATAACTACTGCTTTACCCATTAAATCAATCTCAGCATTTAAGTTGAGACCGAATTTATGTTTCAAATTTTCTACAATTGATTTTTAAGAAGCACATTTTCTTTAGATAAATATTTTGTCTTAAATTTCTCAGTAAGTTTCTTTCTAGCTGCAGATTCCTTGCTATTAAATACAAACACAATATTACAACGTGCTTATATTTTATTCTTTTTATAATAACCTAGAATTATTGATTCCGTTATTAAGGTAGAACTATATTTAAAAGCTTAGGCTTCGTATACATCACTTAAACTTAGCTTAGGATACATCACTTGCGTAATTTATTTTTAAGTACAATTTTGCTCGGATTATCTAAAATTGAATTTGTACTGCTTATTGATTCAGACAACGATTCTGATACTTCCTGTTCACCACATTTTGTTGGCTGAAAAAAAGATACTAGTTATTTGGGAAGCCTGCAAAAATTCTAGTGTTACAGTATTAAAAAACCGTCATATACTAGAATGACTCGCGCGCCGAGGTTTCAGCCTCTTTTAAGTCCCGTAAATATACTGAACATTACAAAACATTCGTTCGTCGTTTAATCAAAAAATAAAACATAAATCCCAGCAATGTTATATAATTATATAATTACACTGTCGCATGGTACTGCTTATTTCTTGAAGTACACTTTTCCTGTTTTTGCGGTGTATTTGTCATTTTTTTTGAACTGCACGGAAATTATGCGTGAAAAATTTGACGTTTCTTCACTGCAATTCTTCTGAACAAATTTGATCCATGATTATTTTGTTTCATGACACAGCCGAGGAAACCATTAAATAAAAATAATAATAAAAAATATTAATTTTACTGCATTAACATTTCCTACAGTGATTATATATAAATATTTTACTGTTCATGATTACTTAACATTATACGTCGATAGTGTCAAGTCTGCGCATATAAATGTTTTACTCTTTGACATTCACGTATACTTTGCTGTTGATAAAATATAATTAAATTAAGCGTGTTTTAAAGATAATAATAAGTTTAAATTACTGGTGAAAATTCACTCCTTGACTTTTCCTTATATTTCTCGAGTAGTTTGAACAGTATCTCAATGCACACGAAGGCATATTAATTTAAAAATAATTCTTCACTCTAACTTCTCACGTTGCAACAATTGCTTGACACAGACTAAGTGAGTTTGAGAGCGCGCACTCTAACGCGTGTTACAAACAATCGAGTTGAGGCGTCTTCTCTAGTACGTAGTACATTATATCTCAATGCTATTATACTATTATGTCTAATAAATATTCATTGCCGCCTATCAAAAACCCACCGCGGAACATAGGCATCTCCAGCAAAATAGGTAAATTGTATACTTTTTATAGTTACAGGAATACTAAACTTTGAATAAAACTAACTTAATGGATATTATCGCGTTTAATTTAACTTAGTTTTAAATAAGAGAAATGTCAAAATGTTTCATCTGTCAAACTCTATGTCTATTTAATTTATTTTATTTTGTTATTTAGATGTCACATACAAACAATAAATATATAGACAGTTATTATAATATTTTTTTTTATTTCAGACATAATACCACTGCGTGCTTGCACTATAGAGGTCAGTGTATTATACTCATTTAAAACCTTTCTGCTGAGTCATTGTCAGCTGTCAAACCATAACGACTAAATAATTTTTTTACAAGGAGGTTATAATATCAATATGGAAGTAATCCTGCTTAGATTATTCGTATATAGTTAGATAATTCGTAGACATAATAGTTAGGTATACAGTAATCTGTGTTATCAATAATCTAAGAAATCATGGCACCTATTGTGAGTGTCGTAAATGATTGTTTCAGGGAAAGATGCAGGTTACATCACATTTCAAGTCAATATGAAGCTGCGTAATAAAAGGACTTTTGAGTGCTGTAGAGATCTGATTAGGTTTTTTAATGAATATCTCCGCTCCGCTACATTCACAGCTGGATTTCCTACTGTGTCAAAATTGTACCGACGGTATGCTGTTTAAAGGTGCAAGGGGATTAAATATACATATTAAACGATGCCATAGTAAAAGTATTTCGGCTTCACAGCCTACCGTAGAAATTCATAACTCTATTAGTAATTCATCCAATTACACAAATAGTTCTCTTTATTCGGAGCAAATTTACAATTATCATCGCAATGTACCAATGGTTAAAAAGAAATCCAAGAGGTGCAAGGATGCAGCTTGCTAAAGCATTGTGAAGTAATATTCAATATTGTTTCAATAATAGTGAAAAGAGTTGGCAAAAATTATTTACTTTCGTGTATTCCCATTTTCATTTTGATAAAACAATTAATTTATCAATTACTTCTCAAATAAATGAGACCACTTTTAAAAATTTAGATTACTAAAATAATACTCAGTAATTAATACTCATTTATCTCGACATCGTCCTACATTTGATTTAAAAAAAGTAGTTGAGTCGAAAGTAATGGATGGCGACTTAAAAATGCATTCCATATTTTATTCTCACAAGACATCCTGGCTCCTCGTAATGTCGAAACTCTTGAAGGCCTTCTTCAGAAGCATCCTTCGGTCAATCCTTCTCAAAGTTTACCGCTGCCTCCCAAGACTTCTGTGCAACCTTTACAAAGGGGATTATTCTCATTCTTGGCTTAACGTGGACAAGTTGTTTTGCAAAAAGTATTTTTACGAAAAAATATAATTAAATCTGAAATTAATATTTTTTTAACTGTCGTAGTAGGAAATTAAATTTACATACAAGTCGTTTAATAAGTATTTAAGCCAATTGCCATTTTTTGGCTGGAGGCCGATTCTGTGTTGCCACATTAATAATAATTGTGATTACAGTCTTAATAATCGATTGTTTAGACTGTAATCACGATGTATTTTCTTTAAAATGTGCAATCAAGTGATTTTTAGAAGGTTTTTATTATATTTATTTTCTTTTAATAACATAAAAACAAACAAAATACTCATTCTTTTGGCCTGCAAATCATTTTACATTCGATTATAATATTAATTCGGTTGTTGTCCATTCGATTTTTTTATTACCTATTTATCAACTGTCAATAATGGATACAGTGAGAAAAAAAAAAACATTTGCTTTGCCTCCGTGTATAGTGAATTATCCGTGTATAGCGGTTATT